GACCACGTCAAGTCCCGAATGCATACTTATTTCTGTACAGCACTTTTTAGCACACCACTTAAGTAATATGGTTCACTCTCAAGATTCTCAGCTAGTTTAAAAACACCGCTTTGTCGATGAAGGTTGTAAGTGACATTCAGGATGCTTATAATTCATGACACGGAAAATCTGCTTCGTCAGCTCCTCAGTTGGCCCATCAAGATCTGAATTACGAGAAAATCTGGCTTCGGCTTGTCGAATACGATTCCCATGAAGATACGGGACCTCAGGATCGGAGATAAATCTGCCAATCAGCTTGCACGGCACTAGTGCGTCTTCCCTCAAGATATTTATACAGTGGTTACTTGGTTGTTTTAACTTGTAGCAGTCTTAGTAAGTCGGTTAACGGCTAGCCCATAACCTCATCTCAGGATCAAAACATTCAATGTAAAATTCTTATTTGCTTCCTTCTTCTAATAATAGTAGTCATGATATCAGTAATTTATACTCAAATACAAATACATTACAAAAAGAATGCCAGTTTACAGACAGGTTCAAAATGTTACAGATACCACAGGATTTATTGTAGTAAGTTACTGAGTTGGTTTGCTATGTCATAAAGCATGCTGATTATAGGAATGAGAATAAATTGGTGTATATAAGAATGTAAATAAAGTTGTTGAAAATTGGAAGCTAAATATAAAAATTGGAGCGCTTTGTGGAGTCTGCCTTACGATGAACAAGTGGTGGACGACAGTTAATGGAAGTATAGCCCAGGGGTGTCTATATCAAAACGTTATATGGCAGATGCATAATCTATCAATTAAAACATCAACTACATTGCATTAGCTTGTCTCTTCCGATTGTGTTTTCCAGATAACAAATTGAAAAGGGTTATGATAAACACAACTGGAAATCTTTCTAAAATATTGCAGGTATTGATGAGGGCTTAGGATTGAAGTCATACGTTCTATATATGCGTTTCATAAGTATATTACCAGGGTGCTGAAAAAGAGGGGAAATTGAAGGACTTGAAGCAGAACAGGTGGTCACACTTTCTCAAATGTCGGTTTATGGGGTGGACTGGTGGTGGTATTACTTTTAAAGCACACAATCTTTGAAGCAAGACATGATTACTGGGAAGATTTACATTCATCATATAACCCTTGGAGAAAATTAAAAATAGCTGACGCAAAACACATGACAGAAACGGCAGGACTTGGCTATCCAAATTTAGTCACTCTATGTAACCTTTTCATCTTCACACTAAATACGTTATTCTTTTACCTGACTGAATATATTCTTAGAAGTACTTAGCAGTAACCATCAACTGTAACGATAAGATGAATCGGTACAGATTATGATGTGACCTTTGCATAAGCTCCAATAAGTTGTGTTTAGATCTATCATTCTTGTGGCACAGTAAAATGTCGTTCAGAAGAACGATGAAAGCTCCACGACCAAACCATCCAGCTCAGAGAACAAAACACCACCAAAATCATCCACCTGAGCTACAAATCTTCTCCACTTCTGAATGTATAGCGCTGGCTGTATCGTTTGAGTTATTTTGTATTTCTGGTATAATTTGTTTTATTTCCTAAATTAGAACCGTTTAAATTGAGCACAGAGTTTATGTTTTGATATAATTTAATACGAGTATTTCAAAATCGCTTTGTAAGCTATACAGAAGAACTTAGTCTAGCCTATTTGAATAAATTTTGGTTCGTCAGTCCTGCATCCAAATCGAATACTGGCGGTTCGGTCGTTACAGAGGCTCTAGCCCTAGTATGTTACATCGTGTGAAGAGGCTTTGATCGCGATCGATTCCTAGAGTCATTTTTATGTCATCGGTTTTCAATGTGTAGCTTACATGAAGGCTATTAAGTACAGATGGACAACATTCCATTACTGGGTGAACACATAATTTACATAATAAGAGCCTAGACTCACTCTGCCAGCAATTACCCACAATACTACCCATGAGTTTACGAGCCTTGGAGGTGGCCAACGTTATTTGTTCTTAAACATTTAGGTCATTCGAATATCTTAAGCCAAAGCCTAAGATTTAATGACATATGTATATTTGCGCAACATCCACTTCAAAATGGAGTCCCATAGTGCCACATCCTATATCAATCCAAATGAGTTTGTTAATATTGAACTGGATACTCACTGAGTATTTGCGGGTATATTGTTTCTAGAATGTTATCTCTAGCTGGTGATTTAAACAAACTAATAGAAGTGCTAGCCTCTTGATTATTAGAAATTAGTGCCACCATATCTCTTACAATGCACATCACTGAGTCGAATGCTAATGAGTACATACTGAATATTATTCAAGTGTTGTATATACATAGTTATTTAAGGAAAACGAAAAGTCAGAAAGTAAAAGCAGTAGCTACTGAAGAATTAATATCCCTTTGTCGTGTGAACTGCTGTGCTGATTACGAGTATTTGAATTATAGTATGAACTAAGAGTCCCAGAAATAACGTAATAGGATCAAGAAGTACCAGATAACCACAAACGAATTCACTGTATTTAGAATTTGAAATCAAGCATTCAACAAGTACAAAGGTATCATCAGTCCATTCAAACACCACAACTGCACACTTAATCGACAAGGAGCATATGGCGTTGTTTTCCGTACTTTTGTGGAAACCCAGACTAATGTGTGCAACCCCATGATACATGAGTGAAGGAGGACTGTAAACATTTCAAAGAAATTTATTGAAGTTTTCGTCTACGCTCTCTAAGATTACGTCTAATGATGGTCCAGTCTAACTAATTTAACTTTCACTTGTTGCCGGAAAGTTATGTAGTCCCACGTAATCTTATCAGCGGCCAAAAGTCTCTTTCTATGAAGGCATTAGTGCAAGGAGAATAAATTGAGTCAATAAAATACTTCAGGTTTATACGTGTAATATTCTGGTGAACATGAGCCTTTTTGATGGAGCTCATGATGTTTAGAAGTAGAAAATTCACAAATTTTTCCTAAATGCTTATTGGCATTCCTATCCAAAGTGTCGTTCGACTGAATCAAGAAGGTGATGCTAAACCTTGACCAATGAAAACTATTCTCTGGTAAACACAGATGGCGACTGTCGGATGTCTACTGAAACCCGCACATGTCGATCTTTGAAAAGTTAGACTCAATCTTCTTAATGTCACCTTCACTGAACACACGTACAACAGGAGTTAGCCTGCTGGGACCAGATTCTTGAACTCCGCTGAAGAACTCGGGTTCTTCGGTTTGAAGTCAGAAACTCGGTTCCCAGAAAGAGAGACATTTCCCTACATAGATAGTGTCTTTACTTACAGTGGATTCCGAGTTGATAACCTCTTGATTTTAGCTCGCCCATAACAGTGATCACGCATCCATAAACGTCAACGATATTTATGTGATCTAACTGAATCTCTCTAAGGAAATCAGGTGTTGGAATTTAAGATGTTGGGATGTATCATCTCTAGAAGACAGTTAGCATCAAGTAAGTTTGGAAACCTATCCTGTTTGGTTTAAATACTTGCTGGAATCCTCTCTCCACACGTTCCTGTGTTACTTACTTACTTACGCCTGTTACTCCTCGTGAAGGAGTATAGGTCGCTCACCAGCATTCTCCATCCAACCCTGTCCTGGGCTATCCTTTCCAGCTTCTTCCAGTTGTAATTCATCCTCTTCATATCTGCTTCTATTATCCGATGCAATGTGTTCTTTGGCCTTCCTTCTTTCTGATTCCCTTGAGGATTCCAAGTTGGGGCTTGCCTCGTGATGCAGTTTGATGATTTGCGTAATGTATGTCCTATCCATTTCTATAGTCTTTTCCTAATTTCTTCTTCAGCTGGAAGTTGGCTTGTTCTCTCCCACAGAAGGCTATTGCTGATGGTATCCGGTCAATGGATGTTGAGTATCTTGCGTAGACAGCTATTCATAAATACTTGTGCTTTCCTGATTGTGGTTGTTGTAGTTCTCCAAGTTTCAGCTCCATACAGTAGAACTGTCTTGACGTTCGTATTGAAGATTCTCACTTTGATATTGGTTGACAGTTGTTTTGAATTCCATATGTTCTTCAATTGTAGGAATGCGACCCTTGCTTTCCTGTGTACATGAAGATAAATAAATCCCCGAAATGAATAGTTTCATAAGTCCTCGGCATTGATACTAACCTCAATAGTTTTAATAAACACACTCTATCTGAAAGGGTTGAGTCGCGCATCCGCACCAGGTCACCACTGTGTACGCCGCGCCACGAACCTCTTTCAACTACTGTCCAGCTTGGATCACACACATTTTGACATGTCGACACCCGGAAAACATACTTTTGAAATCATTCGTTCCTGACTTTTGATTTTACTGGGTTTATATCCTTCGATTATAAAGGTGTCAAAGACAGCAGCATTGTCAAACCCTGAATATCTGTGGAATCTTTACTCACAAATTATCATCGGTCTCGTTTTACCCCGATAGTATCAGGAGTTGGAGAGCGATCAGAATCGAAGGGGATAGTTAAAGGCTTCATAGTGACCAAGTGAAGTTATCTGACTGGTCTAGAACTAGGTAATTGTTGATATGTACTTTCAACCGCGTTGTGACTAATATCGGTTATCAATGGGAATAATGTTGTTACGTATTGATTTAGAAATCATTATCGTCTAAGGCTTAAAAACAACCACTCAATTGTGTATGATTTTTGATAAGTTTTTAGACACTCTCGTAAATATGTGGGGTATTTGGCCACTCGGATGTGACAACCTTCGTGACTTTTCAGTATGGGATTGTGGAGACTGTTAAATTTCACCAAGATCACTCATCGATATAAGTTGGAACGTCATCTAAAACCTGGAAGCACTGAAATGCTGTTTCGTCCTTGTCTTTGTCCGAGCAGATGACACTAACCTCACGATAAATATCGTCATAACGTAACCGGACCTCCAAAAAGTGAGCACTTCAAAGATTATTACACTTTACGTGACCTACCGTTATCCTTATTAAGGAAGATTTAAATCAGCTAACGAGCTTTGTTTGAGCGTATGAAGGTCGGGCTTAAGTCAAGTGCGGTTTCTGTTTTTCGATAAGGATGAAGGCGGAGGACGAGACTAATAACAAGTTGGATATGAGCTTAGGTAAGATATTTCTATGCCAGGTGAATCGTTTTTTCAGTTAGCATTGGTTAAACTGGGCTATTTAAGTTGTAAACTGGGGACTAGAGTATCAAAGTAGAGTCAGGCTTGTGTTGCTCATAAAATTCGGTTACTACGTAATTATAAGACCCAATATTTTTCAAGTGCAAGATGTTGTTTCGGGATTGGTCGAAGCCTGAGTTAGTGATAGGTAGTGGATTAAATGAGTGTATCGGCTTCTTCACTCCTCTTAGGTTACTCACCAGTTCTAATGCACTGGTGTCTGACAAAATCTTGGGATGGATTCAGCCCAATCGACTTTTGCCAGCTTGAGTAACTTGTTGCAAACATGAGATATCCGTCTGTCAACCAAAGGGTGAGTTTACTACGTAGCAGTTCGCTCCATTCTATGTGGAAGCCATTCAAAATCGATGATATCCGGAGGTTACTGGTATTCGATCATAGGTGTCCTCGAAGCATTGCTCTTGTATTTTACTACCACCATGTAAGTAACGGATAGATGAGAAATAGGGTGCTAAGTAAAGATAGCAAATAAATTAGCGAGGTACTAAATGCTCACCAACTGAGGTGGTCGAAACATGTGCTACGCCCGGGCGATGTTTTCGGGTACGAAAGTAGGCTGGAAGAAAGCTAAAGGCGACCAAACCAAAAATGGCATCAATCGTTAACAGTTGAACTGAGCCATGTTAACAGTTGTAGACCATCTAATTGAGATCTGTGTCGTCGTAATCAACGGTTAGATGTATTGAATGACGTGACTCAAAATTGTTTGGAATGGCGCAGGTTCGTCCACTATTCGTTTTTCTTCAGGTTCTAAATCCTTCAAAACTTTTCGATTAGTTTATATTTTATGTCATTGATGTCTAATCTTTTATATTTCCACTCGTATTGTTACCCATTCTACCACTGGGATTTGCCCTAACAACTCATCTCTGTCCTAACGAGTTATGGCAACGTGAGCAAATGTACATGCGTACCAGGGTTCACGTTGTGTTCGGCTGACTGGAAATATAACAACGATTCACCTAAGAAATGAGACGTAGTGAATTGAAGGAAAGTTATTGTCACTGATTAACTGGACAAGAGTAGTGTTTATTAAATATTTGGTTTAAAAGCAGACAGCTTTCCAGTGAAGTAGATTTGCTTTTTGTAACATTTGTGCAAGAAAACTACGACAGGATTACCACTAACTGTTGTGATAAACTCCCAAGGCAACTAACTACGAACTCATGACCTTTAGGACTTCAGCCTTAGTTTCTTGATAAACTGACAGCTCCATGCCATATACAGCTGTTTTTTACTACAATTAATGATTGCTAATAAACAGGATGTGCTGCTCATTTCTAACAATAAAAAGCACTAACATTGGTTTGTTATTATCACACGGTTTAAAGTTTTAGGGCTCTAATATCTTGTTCAAAATTCACTTCCAAACAAACCATAGTAAATAAAAATAATATATTTGTAATATCCCAACGAGTAGAAAATTGGATTTTCTGACGTTTCGTGGCTTAGTGTAAGTCACTTCTTTAGAGAATAAATAACCAAAATTAAATTAATCCAAGTTGAAATAGTACAACGGAACAATGCAAGAATAATATTTGATCAGTCAAAAACAGGTCTGAACAAGTTCAGGTGAATGTTATGTATGTTCACCGAAAATGGCTTATTGGTAACGTAGTTAATCGGCGTAACTTAATTATTTCAATTATAGCAATGAAACTTAACTAAACCAACGCATATGCTTGGTGACTCTATCGGGGCTTACAACTACAAGAATATTTATTTAGGATATTTTGTCGGAAACTTTTGGTTGCAGCACACTCTGGTCTACTTAGTGAATAAAGATACGCAAGTGTTGGGAGATTCATTGAAACTGTGCGTAGTGATGAATGCCAAACTTGCATCGATTTTATCTTGTCCTCATTGAGTTAGTCAATATTGGACTTAATTCATTAGTCCACTCTGAACAATGCTTGAGAAACCTTTGATTGGTTTTCTGAGCCTTTTTGCCTGTGTATCTATCACTGGAGCTCCTTTAAAATAAGTATTCTACTACCATTAAATTATTATTTTTTTACTCTAGAGACAAATTGGATACTTGTTACATTAAAATAACTAAAACGTCTCTTCGAACCCCAAGAGTAGCATTAGTAGTTTTATCGTCCTAGAAACGGCAGCACAAATCAGGTGCTCAAAAGCCAGTCATATACATATTTCTGGGAATATATGGTTTCAATTTTAAAAAAACACATCTATAGCCTAAAGAAATTCTATCGTTAGCATTGAAACCTAACAAGGCAAGAGAGTCATTGTGAAAAAAATCTATGATTTGTAATAAAAATCGCCTGGAGATTATCTATATGAGTGATTGCAGTATTAATTGGTTGATCATGTGTAATGATACGATGTGGCTAAATGATGACTACTACTAGCCAGAAGAATTTGTTTCCTATCTAATTAAATAACATGCATATACAAGAATTATTAGCAGGAAGATAAACGACTAGATTATATCAGTTTTGTAGATCAGTCACTCACCATTGAATTAAGACGTGATTGTTTGGCCTAATGCTTGCTGGTCATATCAAGAGTGCATCCTGTTCAGAAAATATTTCTTTAACATTTGAGCGGTTATGCAGATTAAACTGTATAAGTAGTCTGTCTAAACTTGTGGTCCAACTTAATGTTCCGTTTCATTTTCATTCATTTCAAATCCTTTAGCACCTAAGTTTGTAGATTTTATTCCCGATCACCAAAAATCTCGAACCATTCGTCACTGAAGTTCGTTTCAAGATGGGTACACCGAATTATCACCGTGATGGAACAAATATTGATGAACCTATGGTTACTAACATAGCGCTGCCACTGAATGTCACTAATCCTACGAAGGGGACGTTGATCGACATGGAGCTAAAGAACAGTCAATTCAGAGAAACTAGTTTTCTCAGACTAAACTACTTTCACTAGGACCACTATAAATCTGATATTTTACAACTAGACTAGTATTAAGATGATTCCAAAAATGACTGAAATCGCCATAAGCCATCTTGGCTTTAACTATACGTAGATTGGTCCTATCACTCGTGCCACCACCAGCATTTACATAAATACATAACTTTCCCGATGATTTTTCAAGGCTCCTCACCAAGGGAAAGCATAGTCACAGTTCCCTACCTATCTTGTAAAAACGCTTAGGACTTAAAAGATTCAGAGTACGTGCTATACCTACGGATGCTGATTGCCAACTGATTAAGCGCTACTTACATATCTTGTGTCATCACGCAGTAAGGTGAATCATTGGAGTCTTTCTTCAGGCAACAGACCCACACCACTACCACCACCCATCAGAGCTGTTTCCAGTATGTTACTGATGATAAAGTTGAAGAGAAATTGTGAGATTGGTCAACTCTGTCTAATCTCACTGATAAAATGGGATAGTGGAGAGAGGTAGTTATATATCATCACTTCGTGTGAGTTGTTTTTTTATAAGGCTTTCAAGATACTAGTAGACTTCTCAGGCACATCTTTCTTCAGTAGGCGATCCCAGAGAACGGTCCTGTTTAACGAATTGAAGGCGGCCCTGATGTCAAGAAACGCTACGATTGTTGGCCTGCAATAAGTTTGACGGTGTTCTAAAATTTGGCGGAGGGTGAAGATACGATTAACATATCCTCGACCAGAACGCAAACCAGCCTTCTCGTGGGTCAATCTTCCTCGGGTTTTGAACAATCTACAAAGTGTGACAGAAGCCGATTGTTTGGATGCAGTCGAAAGTGGACTTATCCCCCCGATAATTTGTAAATATAGGCACAACTATCAACTTATTCCACGATGTTAAAGCAGTCTGATTACCCGACATTAGTAAATAACTCAGTCTGTCCCCTAATCAGTGAGTCATCCGGTGGTGGTATGACGTAAATAGAGGAAATGTTAAGCTTAGGTTTTTTTGTCGAATATCATGGTGCATAACGTCCATGTTCAACAGGATGTGGGAACTTGTACTGATGTGCACATGTCCGAGATTCTACAGTGGATATGACTGATGACTAATTAATGCACAAATAATGCCTAAATTGTCTCCATTCATCCCATACTACTTTTTCGTGTGTTTTAGTGAACAAAAAAGTAAAGAACTTGTCATAATAAAAAATTAATGATGTTCTAAGAATCAGAGTAGTTTATTCATGGTCATTATCATAGTTACTTATATCTTTCTTAGTGGTGTTCAACTTATTTCAACAATAGACAAAAGTCCCACTTGAAATCTGTCTTAGTTCGAATGAAGTTTGGTTACTCGTTAATAACCTAGTTTATACTGGATGTTGCAATTATAACATTTCACAGATTGAAATCATGAGTCAGTTGAAGCTCGACCAATCTGTGAAATTTCTAAAATCTCCACAAAACCCGTTCTGATAATTATAACATTGTCTAAACTTAATCATTAATTATACCAACTTTTCACGAATTATCTTCCTCTTTTCTTGTAGATGAAATTATCAAATTGGATAAAAAAGAAGCTCGTAAAAATAGACGAGTTCAACAAACGCTAGCTATTCGTGGTAGACGCCAGAATGTTTCTCAGTACCGACAAAAACCTCGAATATCTGCTGCTGCAACCCGATTACGTGGTTTAAGGCAGAAGCGACTTTCTCGAATCAATCGTCCTATTCAGGGGTCTTCTTCTCAACATCAAGTTTTAACAAAAAACAAACGTGTGTTCACGGTAAAAAATATCCGCGCAAGTAGATCGACGGCACAGGCAGTCCTTCGCCGAGCTCAGAGAACCGCCGCTGCCGCTGCTAGGACAGCTGCTGATGCCACTGCACTTCTTCAGCGCAATCGTATTCAACGTCAGCGGTTGTTTAATGAACGAAGAAACATTCAACCAACCTCTCGCATTGGTGCGCACTGGTTCCTATAAATAATTTTGTTTATGATCATATTATTATTATTTTTTCAGTAATAAGTTCATAAAGTATTTGTCCCTAGAGGTTGGCACTTACTCAATTGTTAGATTGACTGTGCAAGGTCACATGCATAAGCTTAATAATGATTGGGTTTATACGATACCGGATTAGCTTTTCTCGGATGAATCATTCTTCGTCGTTTCTATTCAGTAGTGTTCCTCAAATGATTCCTACAACTAATTTAATTGATGTATTCTCAGTGATATCCCCGAACATGAACGATTGGAAGCATTTATTTCTTCTTATAGCCTATGAAAGACGTCCCTCAAGACGAAGGAGCGCTCCTGCTTCAGCAGTCGGTTCCCGAGGAGCTTACACTTCACCTCAAGTTACTGGTCGTTCGTGGCAATCAGAGCAGCAATCACTTAATTTTCAAAGACGTCCACGTCATAGATCCCTTCAGGTATTGGGATCACCTCAAGGTAAACTAACTTTTCGGTGCTTGCTTTTCATCATTTTTAATTCCGGATTTCTAGGAGTATTTCCCGATACTACATAAAAACCTGAACACTAAGTAAAATTTAGTAGCGTGTCTTGGCTTATCACTGACTACTTAAATTACAAGGAATTTCTGAACCGGCTTCGAGATGCGACTTACGATTTCCATCTAATTCTTGTATAATAGATTAAATCGATGGCATGAAACGCCATATAATACTGATTTGGATTTTTTTTCTGATGCTTCATATTAAGCTCTTGTTGCTCATACAGACTTATAGCATAAAAAACATTTGTAGTTTTCTTGGTGTTTTGTTCAATGGGTTGATTTGTCAGATTTTGTAGTTTTGATTTGTCTTTCTAGACAATATCGTCAGTACAGACTTAGAAGAAAAGAGCTTTTATAATTTCTCTATCAGTAACTAACAGTTTATTCTGTCAATAGGGATTTTGACTTAGTATTACGTATAAGCGTATTGTCACAACCCGCATTTATTTTGATGGTTTTGTTCCAGGATCTGAAATCAGACTTTATAGTTCATTATCATTGTTTTGATTAACCAATAGATTAGGTGTTTTTCGATGTCCATTGACCATTAAGTGTTAGGTTTCTGTATGGTTTCTATGTTGTCTCTGTTCACTACTTTATAACGTTTTCTTAGCTGATATTGCTGTCCATAGTTTTCCACATGCATAAATATAGGTAAATATATGTGATGGGTTGGGTTATGGCAGCTTTTAATGTTCACACAGACAAAGATAGAAAACTAACACTGTGTGTTCTCTAAATTTTTATGGCATGCAGATGATATTGATCTTGTTTTCGGTAGTGTATCATTTGCTTTGGATTATATAGATTATAGAAATTTCGTGTGCTTGTTAGCTACAACCATTGTTAAAGACCGTGATTTGGCTGTGATACCTAAGATGTCTTGTATAAATAGTGGCTTCTACAGTCGATCTTATATGTTGTGATGAATTCCGTGTAGTATGGGTGCTCCGATGTTTATTTACTACCTTGAATACAAAAACTTGAGACTTAAGTATATTAGAAGCCAACCCACACAGAACGTTTAATTGTTGTAGTAACAACCCAATTCGCTGGATTCAAAAGTGTAGAAATTCTTTCAACGCCTTCAATTTGCTAAGAATTGGAATAATACCTGATAGTTATCTTTTAGAAGAATGGATACCTACAAAACCCGTGAAAATCGTTATTATGCGACCTATTACGAAACTCGAAGTCAGCTGTGAAAACTACTGAAAATTACAACCATTCCCTACTTATTACCTACTTGAAGAACATATCAGAGATCAAGCTTAGTTTGATAGTATCGTAGTTTAATTTTCTCTCTCTGATGATCTTATAATTTCTATGGGATTTGATTAGTGATCTTTTTCGTATGACATATAGGTAGAAGGACATCATTCCGTGGAGCCTTATCCCGAAATAATTCCTTACACAGCAACAACTTTGTTCGTAACCAAAGGTGGAGTCAACGAACGAATTTCCGAAGTAATAGCCGAGGTCAACTGCGTAATGGTTATACGCTTACACCAACTGGTCGTCCAACCTCACGGGCTCGTAATGCAGAATATCTTGCTCAAGCTCGTGCCCTTATCCAAGCACAGAATGAAAACGCTCAGCGGTATGATCTTGACAGTCCAAATACAACAGTGTGGAACCCTAGAACCTACAGCGCACCACACAGAAACCTGAATTATTATGCCAAATATTGGGACAACTAATATAGTAATGGAAAATCTTTCACAAGTTCGTTTTCTTCATTAAAATGGCTTTTGATTGCTTTTAACAGTACGTTAAAGTATCCCACTTGTACTCACGTGTAAATGTACAATTTCTATCAAAAGCTAACTGTCATCAACAATAAAACTAACAGGCGCGCGTGTTTTTTATTGCCCTTGATATTCACAAACCCAACTCATTTCAGCTATATCTTTTGTATGTAAAACCAAAAATTTTAGAATTACTTACTGGTTAAATTTTGTACTTTATGTAAAATTTCAATCACCAAGCATTTCATTTGGATTATTGCACTGTAGTGATGTTATTTCTGAACTGGTTGCTTTTTAAATGTATCAGTAAATTTACACTGTTGTGCTGTAAGGAAGTTATAATTACAATTCCATATCAATCATTTACTTTTATTTATTTCGTAATGTTGGTCTGTGAGTGAGTGGCGGAATGATCTGCAGTCATTTAGCTACAACGTAAGACGAGGCACATATATGCGTCGGTCCAAGTTGTCACACCTCATTAGCACAACAAGGTGAACACCGAATTCATAGAAATAGCTACTTCAATGGTAGTAATATATAAAAGAAAGATTTTATATAATGATATAATACAGGAAGAAAGAATCAATTCGTAGAAAGAAAGATATAAAGCAACTTTAATCCTACAGTTTAGCGGAAGACAGAGAGTGTATACACCCACGCCTTTGTGGTCGATTCTGAGCCATGTCACCAAGAGTCTCCAACCACTGGTTACAATAGTCATGTGGACCCCAACCAAGTAGTCTGCATCTACCAACATGACTCAGACTATAAGTTAGTGACTTCAAAGACTGATGCCACGTTTTGGTTTGGCAGTCCCTAACTTTCTTCCAACCGTGTCCAACACTAGTCAGCAGCATTGCGCGTCGTGGTAATCGGTATTCAGGAATACGTAACACGTGGCCCAACGATCTGAGTCGGTGGAAATTTACAACCTCATCAACTGATTTACCATCATTCCCTAATACCCTGCGTCTAACCACACTACTAGTTACCCGGTGATGCGAGCAATATTTCTAAGACATCTGTGACCAAACACAAGCAACTTAATAGTATCCTCTACCTTTAATGACCACGTTTCGCAACCGTAAAGTGGAACAGAACGAACTGCCGCGCAGTATACACATCCTCTGATTGATAGACAGATATCTCGCCTTCGCCATAGGTGGCGTAAGTTGGTAAAAATCAAACGGGCTTTCTGAACTCGTGCAGAGATTTCGTCAGACACCAACCCATTAGGGCTGGTCAGACTTCCAAGGTAAGTGGATTTGTTGACGCGTTTGACTACTTCGCTCCCTTTTCTTAGTTCAGATGTTGACGCAGGCCAGTCCTGGAGCAAAAACTCGCATTTAGTGGAGGAGAAGCGCATTCCAAACATCCTGTCATTGTTGCTCAGTGCTACCAAAAGACTACATTTTATCAGCGTCTTCGCGAAACAGGACTATGTCATCTGCGTATTCTAAGTCGATAAGTGGACCTCTTGGTAAGAGATCGATGCCCGAAAGTTCAGTCGACGAGAACGCTATTTCCAGCAGTAGGTCTCGGATGAAATTAAACAGAAATTGAGATAGTGGACAGCACTGCCGGACACCACTTGAGGTTGCAAAATCAGATGAAAGTTCGCCATAAGCTCTGACTCGACTGGTAGTGCTCGGGTAAGGTTTATGTACTTCTGAGGTACGCCTTTCAATAACAAACACTGATACAGAACCTCTCGTTCTGCAGAGTGAAATGCTGCTTTTAAGTCAAGAAAGATTATCAATTTCGGACGCCGAATAGTGAATATGTGGCTGATGCAGCCACGACCAGGTCTGAAGCTAGCCCGATTTCTTCGTGTTTGCAGTCCACGAGTCTTTGTTAGGCGTCCGATGATTACAAAGGCTAGTATTTTAGATGATATGTTAGTCACACTAATCCCTTTATGTTTGTCACAGGATGTTTTTACCCCTCATATATTGGGACAATCAGTGATTGAGACCAGTCAGATGGGATTATGTCCAGTTTCCAGATTTTAGCTAAAATGTTAGTCAACCTAGTCGCTCAAACTGAACCTCGTTTCAGATTAGCTATAGCTTGTTCAACTTCAATTGAAATCGGGGGGCCTACTTCGATTTTCCATTCAGGATGTCTGGGAATGTTGGGTAGTTGTAGAGCAGCTAAACCGCTTCTTAAAGTGTTCCGCCGATTGTTCTAAACGTCCGGGTTGAGAGGAGATAAGTGTCGTCATTTTCAGAGATCATCTCACTCACTTGACTTCTTAATTCCAGTTTCTTTTATTGGTCCGGAAAGTTGTCTTGTGTTACCTACAGCCCCTGCCTTTTCCATCTCTTTTGCTTTCGTTGCCCACCACTGCTCACGGTGGCTTCTTAGACTTTTGGTTAACCTACATCTGATTTGTTTTCCTCTTCGTCGTATTCAGAGCCTGATGGGATGAGTTTACGAGAATCTATCAGTGCAAGAGACTTAGTAGATATCCATTGGTTTGGTTCAAATCACTAGTAGATGTCGCTGCTGTTTCCACAGCTGCTCGTATATTTTTCCAAGCAACATCTGAATCAGCCTCATTTTCAGAATTGCTTAAGTGTGACCTCAGTCGTCCTCGCTACAAGTACTGTCTGAGCGTTTAGTTTTTTGAAGAAGTCCAGAACGTCTTCTGTAAAAATCATCTTTCACTTCATCCGGGCTACAGTCAGCGGGAGCATGGGCAGAAACGACGAAAAGGCAACGTGTGTCTCTATCCTTCTAACTTCTTACAGAGCCGTTTAGCCGAACAGCAGATAGTTGACTGTTAAGAGTGATCCATTCTATACCAACATCCGCCAGTCCACGAGAACTAGTCATCGGGTCGCCAGATAAACGGAGAGTATGTCTCGTCGGCTCTCCGTTTTGGCTAGGTGAGGTCAAGTGAATGACCACATTAGGATCCTGTATACGTGTTTCGGCGACACAGCATGCATCAATGGTACGAGATTCTAGGGTTTTAGCTAAGGAGACTTGCTGGCCGATTTGAAATAGGGTGCGTACGTTGAAGGCTGTAGTTTGAAGATAGGTCTCAGCAGACCTGAGACTGTTTCTCTCACCCGAATCGTTGGCCATGGTGACACTTGAGGAGGAAGTCAAAAGAGCAAGTACAGTGTTGAAAGTCGATGCAGGAGAAATAATAGGAATTGAAGAGGGAGATTGATTATGAATACAGTGATCTTGAGTGCTGTTAGAGGTATGAGGGTGGTTATCACTTCCCAGTTGCCCACACCGTGAAAGGGTTCTTCTAGAGGTACCTGAAAAGGAAATCGGGTTAGAGGTGGCCTTGGTGACCTGAGAGCGTGACCACAGAACCCAAGGAACAACTGCCTGAAGTCGGTCACACACGACCTTTTTGTGAGTAGTTTCCGTGTTAGCTCCGTACTTGCTGGAACCTTACCGCCGGGGACGGGAATCTGTGGAGTAAGGCGAGGTGTGCATTTATAGGATGGACCTTTCCTAACCCCACTCTTCCTTGTGGGAAGACAGCATTGCTGTTATGCTGAAGAAGACACCTTACTGGCAACACACCTCTGTACAGTCGCCAGTACGACTTCGCTTTCGGAACTTGGGTTTGTTGCTTTTAGTCTTACCACTCTTCAACCAACCTGTCTGACATGGTAGGACCTTGAAGAATGATAGTTCCAACCAGTGTAGCTCGATTGGTTCATAAAAATAGGTAAGACCGACCACTATGTCAAGGTAGCAACAACGGTCGGAATGTGTAGTCTAAATAAAGTATTTTGTATATTTGACATATGTAACAGAATAAAAATGACAATTAGTTATTTTGATTATATGCAACAGACTTTTAATCAATAAAGAGATCTTTATTTCGAACTTCACATGATAATGAACTCTTCGTATTTATATGTGTTTTAAAAGGAGAGAAAAAAAAAAGACGATGAATATTGACGTACATTGAATATCCATTTAACAAAGAATTAATCATTTAAACAATACTCTTAAGACAAATTAAAACTCGTACAATTAATAAAGAGGCTAAATTCAAGATTGAAATGTATATTGTGTGTATTGATGTATGTATATACGACGTGTAAAAGAAAAATAACATGAACAGAGTGGTTATTAGTAGTATTATTATTATTATTTTATCAGAAAAAACAAGATAACAGATTATTTTGTATAGGAATAAATGTCATAATGATTCCCCACGAAAAAAAGAAACAAAACGGGAGAAGGATTATGTGTGTGTGTGTATGTATATATATATAAGAGTGGTATTAAATAAAAGACGAATCAGATAAACTTTAATTATATGTAAAGAACTTCAAAATTAGCTGTGATTTTCCTGTTGACACAAATTAGACCAAGGAAAGGATTAATTAATTGAAATGATTCTCATTAAGAAAACACTAAATGAAAAAAAAATGGTTATTATTATTATTTTTTTAAGTATCCATAAGTGATGTATAGTTTCTGTATTGGTTACACATTGAAGTTACACTTTTAAATTAATATCTTTCTAATCTTTTCATTACTATTTCAAATAGTAGAATAGAGCCCGGCGAAATGAGTAACTGATAAATATAAGAAATGCACAATTCGTAGGGTTTTGTTGTATTGGCTTTTTCATTTGTTACATATCATTCTAAATGTTTTATTATTCTGTGGTTAGAATATAATCCTGTTAGAAAGATAGGTAGGTAGGTACACTAGAGGAAAATAGTGAAATAAATTGTTGAGTGTATTGTTTGAGTTTTCTTTTGCAATTATATATATATTTTAACCTTTTTCAGGCATTGGTTGCAAAGTGTGCCATTGGGCAATAGGTCGACGAGGATTGGCTAACATGTCTGACCAATGACGTAAACCCGCTCCTGTTTCATTGCAACCTAAAACAACTCGGCCAATTGCTTCTGATGTACCGATTCGATCATAATCTACCACGATCACAATCAATGTTACTTTCTGCAAATAAATAAATAAAGATGAAATGTAGCATGAAGTGATTCTCTGCAGAAAATACGTCTCTGATTTACTAATGTCAGTACAATTCTAATGCATAGGAGGATGTTACATCTGAAAATGGCTTTAGTTGTTTCTTCATCAAAGTTAAAGTGTAACATTTTAGTTTTTACGTACGAGCTAGTTAAACTAATCAAGTGAAAGCACAGTATTGAATTCCGATCCCAGTAGCTCGTTGTAACTATAGGAAAAATCAGAGATTGCTACACGTGTATCTACGTCTTAAACAGTCGTCTGGCTTTCTGTTTCAGCATTTTCAAAAGTAAATAACCGACCCAGTACGACTAATACAAATTTGGATACCCTCTCAAATGTCACCAAATAATCTAGTGGTTATTTCTAAAGTTGTGAATTATGCTGGGAAATTTAGACACGGTGGTGTATAGTTCTAAGGTAGCTTGTCGGTTTATCAGATGAGAATAGTATGACATCAGAATAAAATTTAAAAGGTCTAATTCTGTTTAAATGTAAATAATGAGTCGTCCTTCAAGTCAGAATTTACGGGGGGGGGGTTTCTGTGTGTCTCTAAAACAATGTTATGGTAAATATTTTCACAACTTATTGTAATGACGTTATTGATCACAGAACCAACAGGGTTTTCACTAATTGGTTTACTTTTAGTTATGTAGATGATCTAGTTAGACGACTTGATTCAATGATTACAGGATCATTATTCTTTTTTCTGGAAGGTTTGGACTTCCCTACTTCCCTGTTATACTGTTATTTGTAGTAATTAAGTGTTATTTCAGATTGTGTATAAGCTTGGGACATTGTCTTGTGAAGTGGAGAATGATAAACAGCATACAAAAAAAAACTCCTTCAGCATTAAAAAGGTTGATTTTTCTTGTTTAATAATTACTTACTTGGATTTGTTCAAATGGTACTTCAAATGCAAATGATTCATTGTAATAGGGATTTAATGTGCATTTCTTAATAGTAGTCTTCTTCTTTTTAATTCTCTTCCCTCCCAACATTAGAGAAAGTTTAACATATGGATCTACGAACAATAATGTTGGGATAAATGATTAATAAATTTAGTCATTCAATATTATAAAGAAAACAAAACACTTCAATATGGAACCATCATGAATGTGTTAACCAGCAACAGAGATTTCTCTGTTTTGATACCCATTTTAATTTAGCATCTATCCAAACATTATCAAGCAGTTTTTGAATTCAGGGAAAATATAATAGGATCTTATATAAAACAACGTTTTCTCACTAAAATGAAAACATAACTATTGATCTATATTGGTTTTAGAAAACATGCAATATCATCCCTGACTGCCTAAGATATCAGTCATGATTGTAGATGTTCCAAGCAAAATCAAACGTTTAATAATTGACCTTAGTCAGTATAAATGTTCAAAGGTACAAGAAGAATCTATATTTTATTTCTATATGAAAATTTAACTGTCTCCTTATGAAGCCTATTTTACGTGAATAGATAATTTCGTGACCAGAGAACTATTTCCATGAGTTTACAATGTGTGAGTATCTCTTGTACCTCCAACAGTATCCTACCCATTTAAATCTAACAAAGTGATTGCATTCAAAAAGTTTGGTATGAGAGGTAAGAATCTCACTGAGAACTCAATCATTAGAGAGATCTGTTAAGATTCATCAAATCTATTAAACTGTCAAGTCTAATTACGCCTACCTATGTTAGTAAGATAGACATTTCAAATTATGTTTTTGTTTATTCACCAATAACTCACTGGATTACTTTGGTTATCTCCACACAATTTAAGTTAAACACTCTACATATGATAAATAAATTAATATATTTGTGATATCCCAATGATTAGAAAAATCAGATTTTTCGACGTTTCGTGACTCAGTGTAAGTTCCTTCTTCAGAGAATATGTAACCAAATCAAGATGGATTTCCTGGAGTTCTATTGCGAAGCAGTGACCAGTATTCAACCGTGTCTGTTGTGAGGCAATCACTTTTGTTAGATTTAAATAGGTAGGATATTCTTGAGAGTGCAAGAGATACTCACATTTTGATGGAGTTTTGTTCTTTGAGCTGGATGGTTTGGTCGTGGAGCTTTCATCGTTCTTCTGAACGACATAGTCAGTAAAAGCTTCATAACAAGCTGTGAAACGCATATGGAGAAATTCGAACACTTCACTTCTATCTGAAGTTTGTGCTGATGATGTTGTTCAGAAGAATAATGAAAGCTCCACGACCAAACCATCCATCTCAGAGAGCAAATCTCCATCAAAATCATCCACCTGAGCTACAAATCTTCTCACCATCTTAGAGATACTCACATATTGTTAACTCATAGAAGTATTTCTCTGGTCAGGAAATCTAATTTTTCTACTCATTGGGATATTACAAATATAATTTATCTATAACAAGCTACCCAATACTTAATTTATTCGAAATGATCAAATCAAACCTTGGTAATGATACCTATTTCACATGTGAATTTTAACTGCTTCAGTAAATGTTATCATAAATTGTAATTAACCACAATTATAGATTATATCATTTTTAAAAATATAATTTTAACAAACGTTTATATTCGTTCGATGTAACTTAGCAACCGAATTACTTATTTAGAATTTATTGTTGCTAAGATATGTCATTTTCTCATACTGAAAACAGAGAGAGGAAAAACTGTACCGCTATGTTTGAAGCGATTACGAGTTCACTTAGTCTACTAACGGAATTAAGACTTGTGACCAAAGACCAATAAACTAGCTATTCTGTTGCGTCCCAGCCCCGCTAATTAGAGAGAGACGTCGAAGTCCGAACGGGGAAGTATATTCCGCAAAAAGCCAGAAGCATGAGCGATAACAACAGGCACAAATCAAGTCGTATATATGCAGCACAAAACCGTCCTTGGGACGCGTTACGAAATAGCATACTTAAAGACACAATGGACCAATAGAGTTTAAGATTCTCCCAAGTGGGAAATACGATATGAAGGTGAAAAGAGCGCTTTTGGCGCGAAGACAAAGAAATTCAAATTTCCAAAATAAAATTACAAAATTAGGACCTTTTCAATGTGAGTTCTGGGGATCTAACATCTCCAACATGTACTTGTCAGTAGTTTACCAGAAAATTTATCTTGATTTACATTACTAATTCACTGTATAACTGATTTGTTTTTGATTTGTCCTAATTGACCATTAGCGCTAAATGACCTACAATCGATTAATCTATTCAATACTGTGTTGAAGTTACTTTATTTCTCAAATAAAAAAAGAATAAAAAAAACCAAATTTATTATTTAAACTAACCAGATAATCCACCAACGTCCATTTTCTTGAGATTTTTAGCTTCCAAAATATTGATAGTTAATTTTCCAGCAGTTGGAACATAACGTAATGAGAAACAAATATCACCAAGACGATTTTCCTTCAAAACATGAAATATGAACCATTGTCAAATTATAAAGGCCAGTAATAGTCTACTGATTTTCAATGTTTTATTTAGAAAGTGAAAAAAATAGTTCTTATTATTTTATAACAGTAATTACTTAGTAAGAAGGGGTTTTGTGGAGATTTTAGTAATTTCAATAGTTGAAACCATGAGTCACGTGAAGCTAGACCACCATGGAAAACCTAGAAGCACTGGACTGCCGTTTCGTCCTATTATGCGACTCCTCAGCAGTGCGCATCAACGATCCCACATGCAGGGCTCGAATCCAGAACCTTCGGTCTCGCGCGCAAGCGCTTAAACTCTAGACCAATGAACCGGTACCCAACGGTGTTAATGTACAATTTCAACCAATCCGCGATATTGCGCGACTGCCCACCAGTCTTCAATGAGTAACTGCCTCACAACAGACACAGTTGAACTCCACTGGTCACTGCTTCTCACTAGAACTCCAGGAAATCCACCTTGAAGTCAGTCACTAATGAGCACATGATAATGACGAGTATAGGGTTGTGGAGATTGTTGTGTATAGATTGATCCATTCACGATATCAATGTAAACATTTAGTTGTGATCAATCTGTCTGAAAGAATCATTACAGTTCATAGAAAAGAAGTACACTCTACGAATGAATTCAGATCATTCTGAAATCCATATGGGTTTATTATATTGAACAGTAAGTATGAATAAAGTTTGTCTAACTTAGAAAAAAGAAACGCGATAAAACCTAACAGAACGTATTGATTGTTGACTCAAATTATTCATCAAATATAATAAAATGTGAAGACTATGATGTGATGATTACAATTTGTATTTGAAATACAACTGTATATCTGAACAAGAAATTGATGTTATGCACGGTACTAAGCATTGCTTTTACTTTTGGAAATATCCTAAGTTTTGTTTTATAACCGGTGAATACCGACCCACCTGATGATGTTGAAGAAAGAGCTCTAACTATAAAAAACCCCACTCACGATCGAAAATGAAGAGGAACCCGAATCAGTGATGTCACTAACATTTTAGAAAATATGGTCAACTTTAAAAGTTATCATTGTTCCCACCTGCAAAATAAAACTTACCTAATATATGAAAAAATAATAGATATTTTAACAGCTATCATGACTTGGAATAAGTAGTTGCTTCACAATACAGTTACAAGCCTACTAACCACCGTTTAAAGCCAATATTCTACTAAGTTTTATATTCTAAATAGAATATTTCAAATGGTTTATGCAACAACTGAAGCATTCAGAAATCTTTCAAATGACAGACATGATTAACTGTCTCTTAACATTATAATTGTAGTGTTTGAACGTTAAAGTATTTCTGGAAAAATCCTATTTTTTTATTTTTGAACAAGAACAGGATTCACCAATGAACAATTCAGTTCACTTATGCCTGTTTCATCGAACTATTCGGAATAACCAAGTTCGATCAAAGAGCTGAAAGTATTCCTAACATTCGATGTGATATGAATCATTGAGTGTAAACCGATCAAGAGTAACAGGTCTATATTAGATAACTGAGGTAATAAAAAAATTGCTTCGTGCACAAAACTACTGATCAGTGGTGCTAAAACTAAATGAATTGAACACAAACTCACCTTTTCATCATCATCAGGAGGACTTAAATCACGCCATTCCTCAATTACGCGTGCCAAATCAACAGATCCAAGTGGTACTTGAATTTGACCTATTTGATCATGTTTCGAAAATCTGTCGAAATCATAAACATTGAACACTAGAGTTTTCCCCCCAACCTCAGCATATGGAACCTTAACAGAATGGGCAGAAACACAAAAATATTATATAAGAGACTAAACTTTATTTGGTTACACGGAGCATTTAAGAATTATACGTAGAAAAAATGACGTACTAACTGCCACTGATTGGATTTTCAAAAATATTCATTAAATACATTAAACAGGCAAATCATAAGCCTGAATAGAGTAGTACCCCACCATACAGATAATAGTTAACTAAAATCATAATGTATTTTCGGCAACATTGCAACCAGGTGGAAGTGACAAGTGAATGAAGCAAAACTAAGCTGTAATCGTTTGATAGTTATTCCAAACAAAATTAAAAGGTAAAGCAAATACACCTTATAGGTAATTAAAAAGGCGACTCCCCACTTGTAATTCTTCCAAATAAAAAACCTAAAGTTGAACTAAAAACCTCAGATGATTCAGGGAAACAAAAACAATTGATTAACTTCAAGAAAAAGCTAATTTAATCAACCATATTAAAGCTAGTGATCTTCAGTGTCAGTAAAGAAATGTCAAAATGAATAGATTTTGATAAAAGTTGAAATTAAAAAAAAGAAAAGACAAAAGACGTGGACTTTGTCAGTGGCCCATTAAAATAAAGGAGAATTAATAAGATTCAAGGTAAAGGGAATCCCAATAAAGCATTAAATAAGCTTGTGATTCCGAATAGGTACACACAGTAAATCAGAATAACTTGTAGTTAATGAAAGTCTATTCAATTTCTAATTAACTATTAATCTTTCTTCTCCAATAATAGATTTTATTTTATATCGCAAACTGAATTGAATTTAGATAGGGAACCACTGTAAACGGAGAAACACTGAACAGCTCTTTTGTCTTAGTACTTCTATGAAAATTCTAAAAACGTAGGTGTGTAATTTACAAAGTTGATTAATTTCTCTGTTTATTCTGGTTAGCGTTTTTTAACAAGGTTGTTTTCTATAGGGTGGGGTTGCTGACTACATGGCCAACCATCCTCCTTTACCCGGGATTGGGATCGGCAGTAACCCACGAAGAGCTACAGGCAGATGTTGGAACTTCTCTGAGACGACCATAACATTTTCTCTAAATAATTGTTTAATCTTTCAGAAAGATCCTTGAAATGAACAGAAATATAAGCTTTAAAATTTAGGAGAATCACTGTGTTCTTTATGCAGCTGTTCTTATTATACTACAGTTGATTATTCAATATGATTCGACCTTGGGTGTCTTATCAGCTAGTCGCGAAACACTGTCTAGTTATAAAACAATTAGTAACACAAACAATGAAATCGCAGCGAAATAACAGCTTTGATTTGAATAATTGATCCGTAAATGCCAAATTGATCCGCGTAGTAAAAAAATGTCAAGTTTACATACATACATTGGTAGGAGTCGAGCTGTGTGTTGTCACCCTACAGAGTTTTCTTCACCAAATGACATCGGTTATAAAGCAAAGAGGTTAGAGTTAGGTATATCAAGTTAAACTGAAGTTTTGAATTAGGTTTACGAATTGAGTTCAGGGTTTTGAGCACGGATTGACAGCAATGCTTTGTCACCCTTCTGTTTATAAACTTGATAAACTTATAGTTGAGATTTACAGTTGGAGTAAGAAAGGGAAAATATTATCTAGCTTCACTAAATACTCTTGATTATGCAACGAACCACATCAACTACTTAAACAATTTTTCTTAGGAGAAGGTATAATTAGTAATTTGGCGTAAGCACCATCTAAAATTCGGTTTTCGGATATGTAAGAGATATTTTTAATGATTTCAAGCGTTTTAAATACCAAATACTGCCAATTTTCACCTCATTGATGTCGACTTACACGTTATCCAACAATGAACTTTAAATTTCGCGCATAACACATGAGGTATTATCTTAATTCTGATTGATCGACTGAAGGACATCCGTTTACAATACTTTAGCCATAATTAGTTACATCTGTAGAAGCCTAATAAATATCACAGTTCCTAATAAATAACTCTACAAATGCCCTGGTACGGCCGAGAATGCGGAGAGTCATCTCTCCATCTTCAAATGCTCTCACATGGCCACGCGTATACAACCACTGTCAGGGAAGTCCTACTCACTGCCTTCTCGTGGCGGGGGTGTTGTTTACGAAATTGAGAGGACGAAAAGTGAATGTCCGGCGCTTTAACTGGGTTGGTGGACACGAAGAGTCCACCTAGGGGATTTGGAAAACCCTCATTCCAAACCAATGGTGCAGATGGGTTTCAGGATCCTAAGAAAACAAATGGCTTGTGAACCAATCGTTGGTTGCCGGCTACCATGGGACTACATCTCCTTACGTTGCTCCACTGTCTTGTAGATTAGGCATTGAAGTCAAAGGCTCAGGGTGTGGCCCCTTAAGAAAACCACCTGCTTCGGTTTAGGCACCCGGGCAATATCAAGGCCCTCACACAAATAGAATGATTTATGTGGCGCTTATCTATTTGTTGCCTTCTTTTACCTATGTTTATATGTTTAAATAAATAATAATAAATAAACAGTTTACAACATCATCTTAAAAGTGAATTCAAATAAATCACAGCAAGAAGAAAATGAATGAGTATATCTGAAACATCTATCTACGAAAATACATTTTGGTTTAAATTAATGACCCTATCATTCTTTCAACATAATGACTATAAGTCCAAATGAATGCATATTACAATATCTATTCAAAATCATCCAGTTTGGATAGAGTATCCATGTAGTTACATATCGAAATGCTTAATTATAACACAATTAGGTGACCTAGAGAAAGTTGAATTTAATAATAAGAGTGTAACTAAGTAATAATTGCACATTTCTATTTTAGAACAAAAATGACCTTAATATCTAATGAATCTCACTTAGTTAAACAATATCATGATTTTAATAGCCTTTCCTAACCAAAGAAACACTTGAAAAATGGATAACAGGAAAGGTGTAATGCTTATTTCAAATAAATAAAAACAATCTTATTATCAGAGGAGGGTTTTTGTGGATATTATAGTAAGTTAATGGTTGAATTCATGAATTAATTGAAGCTAGACCACCATGAAAAACCTGGAAGCACTGTTGAGGAGTCCAATACTAGTACGAAACGGCTGTCCAGCTCTTTCAGATTATCCATAGTTGTCTAGCTTCAATTGACTCATGAATTCAATCATTAAATCTTATTATTAGTGAAAACAGAAAATGAAAAACTATTCCAACTGAACAAATTTTATTCATATAGTTATACGATATAATCACAGACAACAAATTGTATCTCAACTATCATTTATCACAGACCTATACTTCTGTCATTTATGAATGACTAATTTTTATGCGTAGGCAGTTTGTCAAATTGTATAAACTTTCAAATGATAGACTACATTTATTAAATTATCAGTTGTCCACTAGCTCTAACTCATTTCTCTTAGTTGGATTATTTCATAATATGCAGTCAAAGTGTCGAAAGTGAAAACCAAAGTATGTAGTCTATTTTAAAGGGAACTTAAATAAACCAATAAAATAAACTAATTAACAATGTACAGTAGTTTTATGTCACAAAAATGTCCATTTTCTTTAACCAGAAAGCGTAACAAACATAAAATATTTCAAAAGAATTAAGTCAGATGCAGTTCGTTACATTTGTTAGCTAAATCTCTTGGGACCAATGACTAACAGACATTAACCCTCAAGTTAGCAAAACGATAAGTCAACTGTAGTGAAGGAGAACACAGGTGAGGACAACCGATTATATTTATCATAAAATAGAAAAACCATACTCTAATAACTAATTTGCAAAATGTTCCTTAATTGTCCCAGATTTCATTGTTCCTGCATTTCCACACCAATTACTTTCTGTTCCTGTTCTTTCCTCTTCGATCTTCTGCTGCCAGACATTCTATTTTTGACTTGTGATATATACTACTTATTTCGATATAAGTAGCACACAACAGGATGTCTAATCATCACTTGAAATATTTATTCATCAATGTAAGAGGGACAGATAGAATCTATGTTTGTAGATTCCGCAGCGTATTAAGTCTCATTCGCATATATCATGACTATTGTCAGTATACACCTTAAAAAAGCATCCACAAAACATTAAATTAAAGCTCACTATGATCAAAATACGATAAAAGAACCTTACTTTAAACACAAATGTTTCATTGAATACTGGATTTAATGTTTTTCGATGTACTTTAGTTTCATATTTCTTTTTCTTTTCAGGCAATAGAAACACTTTTACATATGGATCAGATGTTCCAGATAAATCCATTCCAGGCAAATCGGTTGCTTGTATTACACCAACTGTTAACTAAGTGATACAAGAAAAATTAACAGATAATCAATGAAGGATAAGAAGAAGAAAAAATCAAGCTCTAAATCATTATTAAAGAAAAGAAATGCAGAATCAATAAAGTCTTTAATGTATACGAAAAGGGTTGATAACACTACTCGAATGATTATTTAAGAAAGTAGTATTAAATATTAATGAAAGATATGAAGATGCAGGTAATTGGCATTCTGAAGAGAAAGACATAACGGTATTTTGATGATGTACTTACTTCACTATGAGTTTGTATTTTCCATCTCAACTTAATACAAATATTGGGGAGAACAAATGAACACTATTTATAATTGAATAAGTAATGATAAAAGTTTTGTAATAATACGGTTTTTAAGTTGGATAGATAGATGATTTTCCAATGAGTCCCTAGTTGTCAATCTAGACAGCATAATCAGTACAAAATTTAAAATCAAGAGGTAAGTAATGAAAATCTATCGGAAAGTTTCTTGATAGGGTTGATTAATAATCTGAAATGTGGTCAAATGTTTTAAGTAGTGATATTACTATTTCCTACATATATACTTCAAATCATTATGATGATGTCCTGATTTCAGAACTTGTTGCTCATTTACAGGATGGCTTATTCACAAATTAAAGTTCAGTAATCAAATACGAATAATGAAAAACGAAGTCTAATGAACGCCGCAATTTATAACTTCATAGTGTAGCAAGGCTAGCTGATCGAAAATCCCTTTATGCTAAACAATTTAAATCCCATGGAATCCATTACACAATCTGCTCATAGAACTCTCTGGGACATTAAAGCATACAATAGGGCTGTTTAGCCTCCTCATATCTCACTCTCCCTTGTGTGTAATATAATTTCTGAATCAAAATGTCGGTGACTATAATTTATGGACGACCTTTGAGCGACGCTAAAATGACCTTGAGAATGTTCACCTATATACTACGGCTAAATGAGGTTTATTTAGTATGCGTCAAGCTACACGACTAAACTACAGTTTTGATTGAAGAACTGATAAAACTATATTTTAATAATGGCATTGATCGATTGTAGAACTGGCTGAGAGAACCTTCTCCACGTTGTTGGCTAATAAAAAAATGAAAATCCTTTGAACTTATTCACATTTTTAAAATGATCAATATACTTGTCAGGATTGACAATAGGTTCTTCCATCTTAAAATAAGACCAAGTTTGATGTAAACATCCGGTCACGTGATCCGAGTTAATTTTCCATTTGGTGACTTTATAAGGATGTAGTCGATATCACATGGCCTTTACATTATGTTGTAAGTACACTCGTCGGAGGATAGACAAATCTATTCTTGTGAACAAATATTCCAGATACAGAAAAACTGATTAAATGAAATGAACTACTGTCTACCTAGTAGCATCTCATTATTTATTCTCGCATTATAATTCATTTGTTTAATGAACGTCTTGTAAATAATAAATTATTATTTCTTCGTTGAACTTCACCTTGAGACAATCGATGATGATCCTCGTTGTTTTATGTGTACACTATGACTTTGAGACTGATAACTCTAACTGGTTACTACAATATAGTTTTACTGAAGAATTATACAGTCATAAATATATAATATCAGAAAGGGTTTTGGTGGAAATTGTAGTAATTTCATAGTTGAATTCATGAGTCAATTAAAGCTAGGCCACCATGGAAAACCTGAAAGCACTAGAAGCACCGGCTCATAAACTCAAATAAATATATATATCTGAAAATCATCCTAAATGAAATCATTTATCACGGATTAATATTGGTTCTTAAATTGTGAGTAGTGAATAATTGAGATTGTGCTGTCAAAGTTTCTGTAAGTAAAAAGAGACAATATGAAATTCCTGTGACACGCAAGGTGAGCTGACTGATAATAATCAGTTTACAACCACTTACTGACAATCAAATATGAATCTCTTATACTACAATGTAGGTGAACGTACTTTATATTTCAAACAAATAATTCACATGAATAAATTACCTCTCCTTGGGTAAAATCGTAATCAATAGAATATTGTAGTTTGCCCAAATTGACTTCTTCCTTCTCTTGTACACCTTCATTATCTTCCATATTTGCTTCTAATTCATCTAGATCTCCCTAAAAGAAGGTGAATTGTGCGTAAGCGAAATTATTATCTTTCAATATATAGCATCATGGATATTCATCTCAATGTGACAGAAATACCTAACTAAGAGGTTACAGTGTTTGAATGACCTTATAGACCGAAATAAATTGGATAATCAATCATTTAAAATACTACTTATAAACAACAAAAATAAGATAAGTGAACTAGAAAATAGTAAAACTATTGAGATATCTGGAATAAATCTGAACACTACCAGTACTAATTTCATAGAGAAATAAAGCTGTGAGAGGACTGGTGTTACGGAGTGCTAACCCTGAGTTGAATTGATTATTTACAATAACAGTTTACTTGACATGATGAAATCATTCTATCCTAAAACTCAATCTGTTGCAAATAGATTGTATTCGTATGTGTATTAATTGAGTTGATTCCAATAAGCTTAATAAAAGCTTTTTTCTCTGAAAATTTAGACTTCTAAGAATTCCTTCGGATCGGCTCATGCTATGACAGCTACTCACAATCCTATTAATCTGCAATAAAGTATAAATTCCATTTAGAACTCACAATCGTTAGTAGAAAGATAATTTGAAAAAATCATCAGATAAGTGATAATCAGCAGACATTTCATCAGTCTAACAGAATCGATAATAAGTGATTAAGAAATTAAAGCTAAACTCGATTTATTTGTTCAAAAGGAGATGGTTATTAATCTTTCCTTGCCCTAGTGATAAATATACCTTGGTTACATCTTTAAAAAATTCTTTTCAACTCTTTTTTTTCATTTTAAATATCACACATTGCAAGTAGCTGACGAGAACCGAAGGAACTAAAATGAATTCATGCCATTCTGCTAGGATCTATGTTCTTGTTCTCTTCAAGATAATAAAGGGAATTTTGTGTATGAAAGTTGAGGGTACCTTTAGCCAGTTGAAATAAAAGCTGCAATGAGAATTACACTATAATGTGCTGCCACTAAATTATAAGAGAAAGGACCAAAAGCGTTGGATAAAACGCACCTTTTGTATATAGAAGAGGTTGTAAAATACCTCTGCTTTAAATGATACATCTTTCGTTAGTTTTATAGATTTGAATTCTTCTTTGACCTACTGTAGTTTATTATATGGTTACGCAAAGAAAGACATACTCAATATCTAAAGAGATTCTTCCACAGATGTCCGCTAGAAAAGTTCTGATTCTTCTCAACGAGGGACCGAAGGTCCTGCGTCCGATCCCCTGTAGTGAGCTTGTGGATGCATACTATTGAGGAGTCCCATATCAGGATGAAACAAATATCAAGTGATCCTTAGTTTCGATGATAGTCTAGCTAAGATCATTTCGTGATTCGAACAAGTAAAACGATTTAAGTTTAGATAGACCGACACTAATTTTACTGAACTTTTACGGTACAATTAGTGTACCACACAAACCCATGAAACCACAAACTGTTAGTAAGGTTTGTGTGGTGAGGTGCAGCATACCGGCTACGTCTGATGAATAATCTATGGTTTTGAGAAGTCAGGAAAGCTGACTTGAAATAAGTTAAAAAAGAGTAGGTGCATTTATTTATTATCTTTTTGCAAATCATAGATCTAATTTATCAATAAATTATCCAAACATCACCTTCTTTCGTTTTTCTAGAGAGAATTTTCAATTAGCTAGTTTCATATCAATGCTGTGAGTTAGGTTTCATCTAGCTCTATCTATTTGATAATCAAAAGTGCATCTATCTCATACAAGCAGGACAGAATAGTATAAAACCATCCAACTATATGGAGATAGAGACTACATTTCCTAACGGAAAACATGTAGGCTTTAAACGACTTATTTATAGGTGACTACTTGGGTTACTTCTCAAAATTCTCCTTACGATTAATCTATTTAGACAACAACTGTTGATCAGTAAACAATATTCGCAAATCAAACAAAAGTCCATCCATATAGTAAATGAGAAAAATATCAAAGATAGTATTGTATGATGGTCATGATATGTCGTAGATTAAGTGAAGGTTGACATGTTTATATCTGGGTTCCAACTCAATGGTCTAAAGGTATTGTGTTGGCCACCAAGACACGATCCATAGTATGGTCATGGGAATATTCCACTCAATCAGCTCCCAGAATATGAAAACATAACTACTGAATGTTCACTATTTTTTTAGTGGTTCTTTACGGTGAAAACAAATTTTAATAAAAGAATTTTTCAACAAGCCATCATAAACTATTTCTAACATCTTTGTAAAACATAAATACTTTTGAAAACTCAATTATTAACCAATGACTCATATTCCTATACCCATTACAATGAGATCAGTTGACTTGGTCATTCACAAACGATAGATAATGAACAATTTTTTAAAGGTGACTTAAAAGCTCACTGAAACATTAAAAAAAGAAACAGCATTGATAGACATCAATAAATCTCACCTTATCTTTAGTTAAACCTTTGCCTAAAAGTTGTACACTTTTTATATCCGCTTTGCTTTTTTTCGCTCCACGATCCTTTTTCCGACGTTTGAATACGCATCGTTTACAAATACAAAACAATATTAATAAAACAAATAGGATCACACCAATAACCATAGCAATCACAGCTCCTGTTGGAACTAGAAAGAAAAAAGTGAAGCAGAAGGTAATTGATGAAGAGTGTCAAAAACAGATAACAAGTGTGAACGTAAATTGTTTGATCACCAATTTCATGCTAATCGAATTCCGTTCAGACAGTGTAAATATCTCAGTTTTGTAGTCAGTTCCAACAAAAATAGCTGAATAGCAATATCTCAGAATATGAAGCTGGATGATGAATGTCTTAATCCCACATGGAGAATTAATTTCGTTAAGACTAAAGGCATGCCTAGCTGGCGAGTGCCAACTAACATGTGACTTATATCCGGAGTTGGCAGCTGGCCGCCTACAATCATCTAGCGTCAAAAGTATATGATTCAGAAGTGGATTTTCTACCGGATATTATTCATCAGTAAGGGTATATCCCAGCCAAGATTCAAAACCGCATTGCTCAACATACTAGCTAACCACGTCCCCACTACACACTTTGCTATGTAAGTACATACTTCACTATGTATTACTGATAGTCTTTCTGGTGCCACAGATATTCAGCCATGGATACCTTCGAAACAGCCAAAATGTGGTTGAACCAGTAGGTGCTTAACGTTCAAGTTAGACCTAGGATGCAGAGTATAGTAGATAAGCTAACAGATAAGTAATTTAACCACCATCTACCAAGAGGGTTATAGCACATGCCTCATATTGCTAACATTTATCTTACAGTAAAAACACAGAATTCAACACTAGTTGTAGACAAATGTTTCGATAAAGTAATTCTCAGTTTACTTTCTTTTTCAAACTTTATCACTAGTCTGTCTACTCGCGTTATAAATTACAAGTACCTCATGAAATTTTGTGAAGAAAAAGCACCAAGAGTTTGTAGAAGATATCAGGAAGACCTTAGTTAATTTTATTATGTCAAAGATCAGTAAAGATCTTATGTACAATTTCTCAGTCAATAAAGCTTGATGACTAACTTTCAGGTATCTCAGTGTTCGTGAAAGTGATTAGATCAACTAGACCGCAAAAACAATGTTGAATTTAACTTACCATGCATTTTTACTGCTAATTCTTTGATAAAATCATCCATCTTTTGCTTGAATTCTTCACCGGACCCTTCAACTGCAACATGATCGTCGGGGTCCACTCCATGATGTGCTTTTCCATGGATAGTGGGTGGTTCTGACTCCATTCTAAAATGTAAAACAGGACAATTTTTAAATGATTCCAAAGCATCACTTAGGATTTAACTAATTTTACAATGGAGTGAAATTTGTCCTGCAATCCAAAATACTTTAAAAATACAACACAACTATAACCACCCCAAAATTACTATTATCAGCATTAATACAACTACTGATGATTGTAATCACAGAACAAGAATTGTATATTGTTTTAACATAAAATTTCTTTGACTCTATAAATTTTGCGTTTCCTCAAGTTAAGCAAAGTTGGACAAGTGAAACTTGTCTGCGATTTTTTTATTTTTATATCCAAATGAAGACTAAAAGAATGTTAACTTACAGGAATAATTTAGGGACTATTATTATATGAATTTTTATTGTATAATTATTAAGTAACTAGATTATTATGTATAGATTTCTTTTATCATAGGCTTTCGATTGGCACATTAACTAGTGTTATATCATTTACTATATACTGTCTCCCCCATTCACGGCCTCGTTTGGCTCGTTCATGCATAATGATTATTTTGATGTAGTTAGGTAAGCCTGAATACAAACTATATTTTCAGAAGGGGTTTGTGGAGATTTTAGAAATTTTCACAGATTTAAATCATGAGTCAGTTGAAGTTAGACATTAACACCGTTGGATGCCGGCTCAGTGGTCTAATGGTTAAGTGCTCGCGCGCGAAGCCAGGAGGTCCTGGGTCCGAGCCCCTGGTGGTGCGGGGTCGTGGATGCGCACTGCTGAGGAGTCCCATACAAGGACGAAACGGCCGTCCAGTGCTTCCAGGTTTTCAATGGTGGTCTAGCTTCAACTGACTCATGATTTAAATCTGTGACAAACTATATTTGTTTAATATGTAAAATAGCTGAGGCTGGCCAGAAAGACAGGAGCTGTCAGATCGTGAACCAACACGGACTTAGGAGTTGGCTCAAGGTGCCAGTTGGACGTATAATTGGTCAAATCAAAGATACGAAGTAGTACTAATCGGGATTCTGATTGGTGGTTTTGTCACAGAAAGACATAAAACTTTTAAGGTGCACAAGTGATGGAAATCTTATATTTTTCTCTTATTAAGTCGCCTTTGATCAATATGAAACAAACACTTCAAAAAATAATACGCGGTCAGAAAGCTTCCGTAGTGTTTTAAGCTGAATATTATCGATAGAAAATTGAGCAGCAATTTATGCAAGTCTTTCTTATACTCACGACTGCAGAAGCTGATAAGTAGTGAAGTTATCGGAAATATTATACTTAAAGCTGTTTTTTCTTTACATAATACCATAAGAGGAATACTGACTGATATAACCTATTCTAACTCAGTCCGTTCAAACAATAATGTGCTATAAAAGACTAGTGTGAGAATATAAAGAGAGAATATACTGTAAATTCACTAAAAATGTGTTTCAATAAGAACTCAACCTCAAGAAACATCTTCAATATAGGCTGCAAATGACGGGAATAGAGATTCAAGGCTTGTTCAAATGAGTATCACATTGAATTGTAACAAATCTTATGGTAACAAACACAAAGTAATGAGGAAATCGGCTTTTGAATGGAAAGATGAAAAACCACTGAACTTTAATATTCATTGGACTACGAATTTGTTCAATGAAAGTCTATCGATAAACACTGCTGAGTTCCATATCGGATACGACAACTATCCGATGCCCTTCAATATTCTGAATTAAGTCAATTTGCGATGAAACCCAACTTAAATATTCTTTCATTTATTTATTTCATGAAGATCACAGATAAAATTCAAATAAATTGGTTCCAAATCATAAAGGACTGTATTATAATTGCGCTTGAAAAGGTTAAAAGCATTGGGAATATTTGAATTTCATAATTTGTGAGCCAAGAACATCGAAAGCTGAATACAGAAAAAGTAGGAAAATACCACTTCACTGTCATATAAGGAATTTACAATCAAACTACAAAGAGTGGCATTTATTCAATAAGAGAATGATAACTGCTGGGAATTATTTATGGACTTTTATTATATATATCCTGATTGTATAACTATTAAGTAACTATATTGCATCTATATTCATTTTCTTATTATTATAAGCTCCCATTTAACCTATTTATTACTATTATACAATTAACTATTCTTAAGTTATTCCTAACCTATTAATTACAGTCTCTCACAATCACAGCCACATTTTGGTTTGATCTTGTATCATTGTTATTTTCTATTTTATGGTATGATGTGATCTGATTTGTTTGTATATAAACTGCGTGTGTTTGGAATGTATGATTCATATGGTGGAGGCTGATATTGGTGCACTAGAGTGAATCGACTGGGTTAACCAAGAAGTTACTATCTCAGTGGACCAATAAGAACTCAGTGTTGACTCTACGTCGCTCGTACTGGTTTATGCATCATTGGTCTAGTGAATAAATCGGTGTTCTAATTGGTTGGCGATAAGCCACGTGATATATTCGAAGTGTTATAAGGACATAAAAGTAATTGTTTAGTTTTTTCAATTATTCAATAAACGTCGAAATAAGAATTTTCGTTATCCTATTTATGTATAATTGGTTTTCAATCACAAATAAAACCAACGTTAAAAGATGTGAACTAAATTAGTAGTTAAGATAGATGGTGACTAGCAGTGAAATACAGTTTGACGTGCATTTTGTCCTATTTGTGACGCGTCAGCTAGATTTGCCTGTATCTCAGAGTTGTTGTTCACTCTGTGACTCGAACCCAGTATCTTTCTTTTCAAACGCCATGGCGTTATCCACTTAGGACGAAGTGCGCGTCCTGGATTCCACTACTAGCCACTATCCATCTTTGCTTATCAAGCTTGTTACTTAAGGAAATATCAAGACAGTTCGTATAGGATGCACATATGGCAACAAGAGACAGATCAATTGTAGTCCTAAATAACAATGAGAAGATACAAGTAAACAATATCAAGTGAATTTAAATTAATAGTTAGTTAAATTCAGTGTATATATCTAAAGTAAAACTTTAACAAGAGAGAAGTTGAAAAATGATAAAATCCTACTGATACTTAGTGAAAACATTATAGATTTAAGTATGAAGATATGATTGGAATCATGATAACGTGGATGGTACAGGTAATGTTCTTCATTAAAGTAAGCAGTTGAAACAGTTATGTTAACGTACTGTATGATATTATCAAGTCAGATAAAAAAAAGTGAGTGAGTACTTCAGCGTATTATTTAAATCGACATTCATAAGTTTTCTGTTAATTAACAAACAGAAGACTATTTTAAAAAATGACAACAACAAGAGAAGAAAAGTATACACTCCTACTATGATAGTAAAATTCGTGTTATATATGTCCAGGGACGGCTAACGGTAAACTCAAGTAAGCTCAGACAAGCTATAAAAGAGCCAAAGACAATCCATCAAATCATCATTTGATAGAGCATTCCAGAATTCTGACGTGTAGCATACAGATTGGACAAATGCTAAAGACCACCGCACACGGATTGGATGACTGTAATCACGATATCGCTTTTACTAAAAATGCCAAATACCTGAGTGTTTTGTAACATAATTGAAAGCTAATTATGTAAACCTGTACCATTTTGATGAGGGTTGTAGTGGCTCTCCAAATTTCAGCTCCGTACAGTAGAACTGTATTGACGTTCGTATCGAAAATTCTAACTTTGATATTAGTTGACAGACAGTTGTTTTGAGTCCCATATGTTATTCAACTGTAAGAATACTGTCCTTACTTTGCCAATCTGGGCATTTACATCAGCATCAGTTCCTCCACGTTCATCGATGGTGCTACTCAGATACGTGAATGTTTCCACCTCTTCCAAAGTTTTCCCATCAAGTGTGATTGAGTTGGTGTTCTCCGTGTTGTATTTGAGGATCTTGGTTTTCCCCTTGTGTATGTTGAGGTCTACTGACGCAGAAGTTTCTGCTACGATAGTTGTCTTGACCTGCATTTGTTGATGTGTATGGTATAGATGGGGCAGGTCATCTGAGAAGTCCAAATCGTTTAGTTGCATCAAACCTATCCATTTCATTCCCTGCTTCGTGTCAGATGTCAAGGTCCTTCAACATCAAAGGACCGGGTTCTGTAAGAATCGGTCGTTCACAGACCAAACTGAGACTCTACGGACCACCGTTGAACAATCAGTTGGATGGAACTTGTCACTACATATCAACTTCTTTGACTGTGAGAAAGCATTTGACAGTGTGGATAGGTGACGTTATTCGGCATTATGGTGTACATGACAAAATCGTCACCATAATACGGGATTCATACTACGGACTACACTGAAAAGGTTTGCATGTAGGACAGCTGACAGATGCATTTCAAGTGAAGACCGGAGTCATACGAGGCTGCCTACTCTCTCCCTTTCTCTTTCTTCTGGTGGCTGACTGGATTATAAGGACCTTGACATCTGACACGAAGCAGGGAATGAAATGGATAGGTTTGATGCAACTAAACGATTTGGACTTCTCAGATGACCTGCCCCATCTATACCATACACATCAACAAATGCAGGTCAAGACAACTATCGTAGCAGAAACTTCTGCGTCAGTAGACCTCAACATACACAAGGGGAAAACCAAGATCCTCAAATACAACACGGAGAACACCAACTCAATCACACTTGATGGGAAAACTTTGGAAGAGGTGGAAACATTCACGTATCTGAGTAGCACCATCGATGAACGTGGAGGAACTGATGCTGATGTAAATGCCCAGATTGGCAAAGTAAGGACAGTATTCTTACAGTTGAATAACATATGGGACTCAAAACAACTGTCTGTCAACTAATATCAAAGTTAGAATTTTCGATACGAACGTCAATACAGTTCTACTGTACGGAGCTGAAATTTGGAGAGCCACTACAACCCTCATCAAAATGGTACAGGTTTTCATAAACAGTTTTCTACGCAATATACTCAATGTCGTTTTAACGGATACCATCGTCTACAGCCTACTGCAAGAGAAAAGAAACCAACTTCCATCTGAAGAGGAATCTATGTAAGGAATTGTTAAGTGAA